CGGACTCAATTGAGGCTCCCTCACCTACATCAATTAGCTTGATAGTGGCCCTTACAGTTGCATCCGTTGGTTTTAATTCCTCGAGTTGAGGCATGAAGGAGTCCAGGTCCAAGTTGGGATATCACTTCTCAGTTTGGTCTTGAAATTTCATAAACCCCTTCACGAAGATGGACACACTCTCCTTGAGGAGCTCATTAATCCTACCCTTCAGGGACCCCACCTCGACAACTTTCGCCTTCAGCTCATCATCCTTGGCCTTTAGCTCAGTGATCCTCTTTAGCTCAGCCACCTCGGCAACCAGAACAACCACCTTTCCTTTAACTATGTCTTCCCTTGCCTCGGCTGCATCAGCAGCGATCTATACATCCTTTAGCTCATGCTCCTTTGCAACCAACTAAGTCGCAAGACGGCCATGATGGAATTCCATTATCTTCACACATGCCAAGGACTTACAAGAAGACACGATCAATGCAATTGGAAGGAAGAAGGATCCAAGGGAGAATAATCTAGAAGGAAGAGGAAAGCGAACAATACCTCAATCATGCCCCGAATCACATGCCTAGTCTTCTTCTTAAAACTGACTTGCATGGCCATCTTAGGGTCTGAGGTCGAGACCAACTCAGACAGGGTGCTCACTGCCGCCGCCAGGTTGTGAAGAAACCCACTCCTTGGGTAACCATTTGAGAAGGACTAATTTCCCCCTTCCTTCCCTCTAACAAAGGCTGCTAGAGAAGATTGAGGACCACCTCTGAAGGTTTGACCTTTTTGGAAGGAGGTTTGCTCTTAGACCAGGGGGCAAGGAAGAGGAGATGTCATCCTCAAGAGAAGCTAAATCCTCACGCTTCTGTTCCAAAAAGGTAGAAGCCGGCATCAGCTCTTCCTTGGGAGGAGGATTAGAAGTCCTTGACGATTTCCTCCATTTCCTCGTCTTCTCAAAAGCTGACATGATGAGTTTAGGATCCATTAGGTCAATAGAGTTTGTAGGCAATAGCTCCATGACGTGGGCAGATTGCGTGTTCACCTGGGGTTCGACCTCGTGCTTTGCAAGGTTTTTCTCAGTCACCAAATCCAAAAAAGACCTTAGACCAAAAGCCTCCACTTGGCTACCCTAATAGTCTTTGTAGCGTCAAGAACCAAACAAAAACCTATAAATTAAATCAAAAATCAGTATGGCAACCCTGAATAAAAAATGCAATTAGCAGACATATAAAGATGCATATCCAACTATTAGCCTTATGAATGTTCCTCGAGACTCCCCAGAATCGAGGAATGCAGGGAACATTGTTTGGTACTCTTGACAATTCCCAAAAATCGCCTTCAACAAAAAAGAACTTCAGCTTCCACCATTTGTTAGAAAATGGAGCTCAAAAATAAACTCTTCACCTTCACCCACTTGGCAAAGTAAAACAAACCCAACGAAGGAGAAGATTTGAGTTAGAAAAGGGAGGCGAATTCAGCAATAGTGGCAAAAAAGTGTTTCCACTCTTAAATCAGTGTATGAGGAAGCTGACCAGCAAGCCCAACCATTCTGAGACACTTGGGGCTAGGCAAACATTGTAGAAAGCAAGGATATCTAGGATAAAAGGATGAATATAAAATTGGAGGCCAGCACAAAAAGCCGACTCGAAAAAGCAAGTCATCCCCGGAATAGAAGAATTGCACCTCTCATCTTGCCAAAGAGGGTGGAGCAACACGAACTCTGGAAAGGAAAACTCATCCCTCAAAGACTCCAAGTCCTCCTCTCCAAGGTGGCTCGAGGTTGATTCGGCACAACACGTCAAGTCAAAAAGATCTCGGTGATCCTTTTTCTTCTTGGTGGTAGAAGTTGAAATGCCCCAAGATCTTTTCTTCTTAGAATGACTCAAGGTAATTGGGGGCAACACAAAAGGAGCCTCCACTGAAGGGGCTGAGGTCGAAGCCTCGATGGCCGGCCCGAAGCCCTCCGCAATCGGCTCTCTAGGAAGGAATTTGAAGTTTTCTACTAAGAACAAGAAAATTTGGTCATCCTCAATCAATATATCACCAGTTGTGGGGACCTCCTTCCCGCTCGGGGGAGAGAACGCCCCCTCCTCAAAATGGCCACTAGAAGAAGTCGTAGAGACTTCATCAACACCCTTATCAACCTCTTCATCAAACTCGAAGTAGGAAGAAGAATCGGAAACCACCCTCCCCATTATCATCCCAAATGGTAGATCAAAATGTAAGAAGGATAGATGCGAAGCACAATTAGTCAAGAATAGGGAAGTTAAACACCAAGTTCTGAGTAAGGACAACCTCAACATGAGGGGGTAATCTACGAATCGAGAAAGGGAAGCAAAATTACCGGAGTGATTCTAAAAATAGCTAAACCTCCAAATAAGAAAATGAAACTTGTAACCCCACCAGGGAGGGTTATAGGGATCTAGATCGAAGGAAAAAAAGGAAAAGACATACCTAACCAGGGGCTAGAATGAAACCACAAATGTATGGGAAACGCAGAATCCTTGAAACACCAAGAACTTAAAATGGATGCCTCAAAACTTAGAAGAAGGAAAAAGAAGCGCAAGGAGATAGGAATTCAAAATGAAAGAGGAAAGATAAAGAAGCTTCCTGCCCCCCTTTTTTATACACATCATTTATTAGCATGATGGGACATGGAGGAGAATGTGCAGAAGAAGCCGTAATAGGGAACCTCCCTCCAAACGACACATGTTCCCCCTCAAGCAAGTTTGTTCCATCAAGCCAGCGCGGGTTAACTGAACATGCCCCAAGGGCGGCACCAGTAATCATGGGAAACCGCCATCCACGGAAACAATAATGACCATAGAAAAGACATATTTAACCCCTAGATCAAAGCTGAAATGTCATCCTCGTAACTTGGGGCTGGGGGGCAACTAATAATGATGGATTTCAGCTTGAGCTGTCATTTGAAGCCCAAAACACCCGATGGGCTCCCTGGTTACATGGTAGCCTAAACGTCTCATTCGTAGCCTGCCAAACCCAAGGAAGGGAGTCCAATGACACCCAGATCGGTATATGTCTGCTCGGTCACATTAAGCTCGGCGGAGACCTATCTGGGAACTAGTAGCTAGGTACTAGACATATCCTGAGCATCTTTCATTGTGCCACATGTCCAGGGGACTAGGGGACAGCTTCTAGAGTCCCTAATGAACACACACTCCTTGATAAAGGGAATATTTGTACATATACCGTTTTAAGGATCATGGGCATAACATGATTCAGGGTGGCAGACACCACTATAGAATAAAGGAAGCGAGAACCATAGAATCAGCCAAGGAAATGAAGGAATATCATAAAACCTTAGATGACCACTTGTATAAATAGAATAAGGGTGCATTGTATAAGAGAGTTTCAAAAAAATTATATTCACAATATATTGTGTACAAAGGCTCTAAGCCAAAAAAAAAAAAAAAAAACCTCTGTAACCTACTTCCTCAAGCTATATAAACCCTAAGGAGCAAGAGTCTTCATTGCAGTGGATGTAGCATTAGTCTTTCGCCTAAGGTAAACCACTTATATCTTGTTTTTGATCTAACATCATCTCTTACTTCTTTATTAACCCAAATATTCACACTAATATCGCATGCTTTTAAGGGGTTAAAATTCTTAGAGTAGAAAATATGTTTTGGAGAATCAATTTTGTCTATGAATTAATTGTGAATATTTATCAATTAATCTAAGATGTTTGAACAAATTTATAAGTTGAGAAAATCTCTAATATTTTATTATACAGATTATTCTAACAAATATATTAGATGTAAGTGGCTTTGATTGATTTTTCCCTATGAAGCACGGATACGGATACGGGATACGAGTACGATACGATACAGATACGATGATACGATAAAGTTTAAAATAGTAGGATATGGGTACAATCAAGATACGACTATAACAAAAATATATTTAATATTTTTATTATTTTCAACCAACTAAATATTTATATGTTTTAGTAGTTCTTTAATATATAATAACGAAAATTAGTAATTCTTTTTAGTTTCAAGAAAATATATATCGTGTCGCTGTGATATATTCACAAAATGAAGTGACTAATTAAAGGAATCAAAGCTAATATTTACCTAATATTTAGAAGTAATTTTTACTAAGATTATAATGTAATACCTTTATTTTATTCTCTTTTGACATATAATTGTAGATAATACTTAAAAAACATTCATCTGTCTTTGAAGTAATATGAATTTTTTGTTAATGTATAGTATGATATGTGAATTCAAAAAGAAATTTTAAAAGTTCAACTAAAAAATTATATATGTTACTCGACTACAAAAGTATATGTAAAATATTCTAATATTTAATTATTATCAGATATGTAGAAGGTGTATCCGATACGTATTTTTGAGTATAATATCCGATACAGGTACGTCCACCTCAACGAAATATCCGTGTTTCATAGGTTTTTCCTCTTCGGTAATGGGATTAAGATATGAATCCCATGCGACGCTGAGAGGAGGTTGCCTAGCCAATTTATATTTATCCTCGAGCATGACTCATCGATAAAACGGTTTATGTCGTTATTCCATGTTTAATCGTGTCAACAAAGTTATAGTTTTTTAAACAAAGTTACAACCTAACTTGAAATACCTGTAGACAATGGCATAATCGGCATTATATTATTCCGATTGTTTGCACACTCACTCACTTTCATGAATTATCGGCTCCATTGCATCATCATCCCCCATCGTTGGAGTTGCTTTATTCCCTCTCAAATCATTCATCCCAGGTAAATAAATCATTTGTACATTTGATCGGTACATACGTAGGAATATGTACCCATTTTCTCTCTCCTGGATTTCCAGAATTCTATGCCATGCATAATATATGCATACACACACACACACACATAATCCTAAGCGCATCTATATGTAGATATATACACGTATATACTCAAGTTAATGTTTTCTTTTTTCATATGTACATATGTGTTTAGGGTTTGCTCCAGGTCAATTTGGTGTTGCAATAACAGCAATAGATATCGCACTCTAATGGACCCAGTTGATGTTGATGCTTTAAAGTGTTCTTCAGAGGTGGTAGTGGGTGATCCTGATTGCTTGAAAATAAAAAAGCCGCAATTCGGTTTGCTGGTCCTGCCAAACTCCAGGTCTTTCATGGCATTTTTTTTTGTGCATTCATCGATTCTTGCAAAATCTTGAATTATTAATTTCAATATTAACATGACCCAAGTTTGTTTATTTGTTTGCTCGCATGGTGCACAACGTTAATTGTGTGCGTGCGTGTGCAGACACATTTGGTGTGGTTTTCGTTGAGTAAATGTGTTCTGAAAGTGTTGTTTTACTCTGCATTCCTATATTTTCTTTACTTAGAATTAATTTGATGGTCAAAAAGATACAAAAAAGGCTTCTAATTTATCCAATTTGGACATGGTATATGCGATCACTTTTTGGTTAGCTATTGTTTCTGTACTTTTTGCTCTAGAACTTCCGAACATATATATTTTTTTTTCCGGTTATAAAGGATAGAAGTTGGAGTTGTTTGCTTAGATTGCGCCTATTATAACCAGTAAGGCACATGCTAATGACATTGATGAGCAGGTTAATTCTATACTTCAACAAACTAATGTTGAAGTTTCAATTTTTTTTTTTTTTATAAATTCAGATAGATTAAGATGGGACAGTGGTTGACAAATTTCATTTCTTCATTTTGGATGGCATCTGAGATTACAATGACCAACTTTAAATGCCCATATTTTTGCTGGATATCAGGAATAATCTTATCATTCAATGTGTTTCCAACTGGCATTGGTAGTTTAACAAAGGATTCATATTTCTGTTGGACATGTCGGGTACAAGGAGTTGTTGGAAGCTCTTTTGCATATGTTTGAACTACGCTCTATCTGTCATTTTTGAACACCTTTAGACAGGTGTCCAACATTCCTCAAAAGATCGGATGTGACTTTTTGTAGGGCAGGTCTTATGAGATTGAATCTGTATATGGATTTATATGAACATTATTATGGCGATGAAGCTTTCATCCAGATGATGTTGGGGAGTAGGAGTAGAGAATTGTTGTGATTATGTGAACATGCATCCTTGTGATGTTACGATGCTATTTTTCATGAACAGTATTTTATCTCCAGACTTTCACATATTTTTTTCTCTTTTGACAAATTAGGTAATTGCAGATTTTGACGCTACACTGACAAGGTACTGGATTGATGGCTGTCGAGGACAAAGTAAGTTGTCAGTGTTTCGGTTCTTGAACATTTCATTAATGGATTATATCCACAACCTGATATTGATGTTGTCTAATAACAAATGCAGGCAGTCATGGCCTTCTGCAACAGGGGAATCCTGAATATGATGTCAAGAGGCAGAAACTATATGACTATTATCATCCACTAGAATTCAACCCAACAATTCCCCTTGATGAGAAGACAAAGCTCATGGAAGAATGGTAAACAACTTCATTACTTACAGCTGAGTACCAGTTTCCCCACTAAACATCAGCTAATTGGGCCACCTTCATGCAACTCTGATTGGTTTTGAGGTAGCTAAGTTGTAGCTTATGAACATTAGAATAAGATTACACACGTTTTTAGGTGGAGGCTCTGAGAAATTATATTTTGCTGTTGTACACACCCATGAATACCTTTCAAGTTGTGAAGTCTTTCTTATACTTATGATTTCGATTTTGGTGACGAACTTGGCTAATGCCATTAATGCAGGTGGGAAAAAACCCATGCTCTTCTTATTGAAGGAGGCCTTACATATGATGCAATTAAGAATTCTGTGGCTAGTGCCACAATTGCATTCAGGGAGGGTGTAGTTGAACTTTTTGAGTTCCTGGAGGTAAATTGTTGCACTGTTGATGATTATACAATTTCTTTTTTTTTTTTTTTTCATATTTTCTTTCATGGCATTACTTTGTAAGATGAGTAAGATAGCAGGAGCATAAGCCAAAAATAATTCCATGGGGCGTGCTGTTTATTGAAATGTGAGTTAACAACCTGAACCTCTAGCAGCTTATAAAAGGAGAAAGGAATGAGGAACCTCATTATGAACCTCATTCTGAACCTCAGTATCAGCAGAGGCACATGGTACTTTGAATCCCATGTTGAGATGTTTTTTTATATTAGACAAACACTACTTCTGTTAATTGAATACATGTCTCAGGCTGCAAACTGAGGTGTTCTGGTTTATGGAAAAACACAAAATTTTGTCCCTTGAAGACAAGTCTCAAAACCTTCCTGTTGTTGCTGTGTTTCCTGCCTTTTCTCTAAGCCTGCTGAGTGAAGCAGAGACTATAAATTGAGACCTTGGAGGAGTTCTGCCTCACCTTTTTTCTTTTCCTTTACAACTTGCAGGAGAGAGATGTTCCTGTGCTTATATTTTCTGCAGGACTTGCTGATACCATAGAGGAGGTTAGTCAAAGGTTTTTTACTGGTCTTATTCCTTGAGAAACAGAATTTAGTCATTTATTTCAAGCTTTGATTCTCACCCCCTTCCATGTGGTACCTCTTCTTTTCACTTCACCAGGTCCTTCGACAGAAACTCCATAGATCTTTCAAAAATGTTAAGATTGTATCAAACCGGATGTTATTTGACCAGAATGGTCAGCTAGTATCTTTTAAAGGTATCCTTTTATCTTGATAAACATACCAAAATAGAAGCATGTGTGAAACCGTAGAGTTACTTTTACATAGATAACCCAATTTAAAATTTCAGCTGTACCTTTACTGAGGATACTTTCTCATGTGAGACATACTATGCTGGGAGGGTATCGCTTGTACTCTATCTGCCTCCTCGATCTCTATATTGCACACAATTCATCATGTAAGGCAGCAGATAGGAGTTTTTGAAGTTCAAAATCTTACCTGATGGAAGAATCATATTAGTTGCATCTTTTTCTATTTCACCTTAATTTTTGAAGTTCAAAGAAAGTTCTGTCGGTGAATAAAACTTGTCTGTCCGTAGACTTCATATTGAGGATTAGTTCATCCTTGCTCCACAGAAAGATAAGAACTGGCTTTGGTATTTGTCTCACCTCTAAAACTAAAGCAGCGAGCATCATCATCATCATCATCTGCGTTGATGTCAGAAAATATTTTTGCTCTTTACATCAGCAAAATTTCAGACTAAGGTATTGTTGAGTAAGAAAGTTTGTTCTTGCTACAGGGAAGACAATTCATAGTTTGAATAAGAATGAGCATGCTCTTGATATGTCTGCACCTTTCCATGACCGATTGGGTGAAGATGATGGGCCTATTGATGACAATGCCTCGGTAAAGAAGAGAACCAATGTGCTTCTCCTCGGTGATCAATTTGGGGACTTGGGAATGTCTGATGGTTTGAGCTATGAAACACGTATTTCTGTGGGATTTCTGTAAGTCAAAAGATTTGGTCAAACTCCAATGGTAGTTCACTTTCATCTTACTGGTTATACTGTAGCTGCATGTGACTCTTTTCCTCTCCCTATTCAAGGTCCTTATAAGACTATGGAGTCTTCCATCTGACAATAATGGTGTGATTGCTATTTGAGTACAAAGTTTTCTCCATCTGTGAATAATTCATTTGTAATCTGTTCTGCCTGCAATTCCTGATTGTAAGCAGTAAAATGATGTCATTAGTCCTTGTTGTCACTGGAAAACAGTGCTACAATTACACACCAGTAATATTTGGAGTGAACTTGATTTGTGCCTAATAGTATGGTTGTCCACAGGAATGATAACAAAATGCATAGTGTCTCCAACAAGCTCTAGGTCCCCCCCCCCCCCCCACGTTGAAAAAGGGGGGGGGGGGGTTGCAGAAGGGTTCATTTTGCTCAATCATATTTACTTTTTGCCACCCCTGTTACTAAAACATTATATTCTGGAAAAGGAGATGCATTATCTTATTTATGCATTTATTTCATGTTCTAGTCCTGTATATTATGTGTTCTGTGTGGGAATTTTCTTGCAGTAGACTTCCAGTATGTTGGTATATTAACTGATTCTGCCGTTGCAGTGTGGCTGTCAAGCTGTCATCTCAGCTTGACAGCTTCCTAATATCTTAAACAATAAATGTTCTAAAGATTCTCTTCCAATTCATGATTTTCAACATGCTTAACTCTTGCATGAAGACAATAAAGGGGAAGATTGTTTTTGCCTGTGAGGCTTTGTAACATTGTCTGCGTACACTCATATAGAAACATTCTTGAAACTCAAATGTTTCAATTACCATTTATATGTAGACAATAAAAAGGGAGACTGATTTGGCCTGCGAGTTTTCACATTGTATGTACCAAATAATTGCATATTCGAAAGATGGGATACTTTGTAATGGTTTTATGACACGTTTGACATTTGTAATCCTTTTTAAACCTTTTGACAATCTTTTGACTGCCACAGATCAGTGAAGTAATATTTTTTGTGCGCTTACATAACTTTAGACTATATACTCCCCAATGGAACCTCAATGAGATTATATTTCTAGAGTATTTATATCCATTTTTCTGAAAAAAATAACTTGACATGTATGGATATTTAAAATTGATGTAGTCAATGTTAATGCTCAAGTCCTGAGAATTTTTGATTGTGATAGATGAAATTTCTGTAAAACATTTTATGAACCATTGCAAAATGTTGAATTTTTTATGAAATGCCAATTTTTTCAATTGCTGGGTGATCATGTTGAATGTAGCACGAACATTTCCTTGATGTTTGACTTTGAAGGATGAGCATGAAAATCTATTCCTTTATCATAAAAGGGGAAAAAGAACGATGCTTTGCTGAATTCTTAAATGTCATGAACTGCCAGTAAGGGGATGGCAGTAGTCAGTCAAGCTAGAAGTATAACTCATGTTTTTGCTGTTCAATTTAGATATAAGATTGAAGAGCATTGTATTTTAGGGAAGAATTCAATATAAATTTTACATGGAAGAAAGATAACAACTCTGACTGCACCCATATGTAAAGAACAATTTATATTGCTGCCTGGATAGAGCTGCATGGGAAACCAAGATTATTGATGTCTGCCGCCAATAGTTGGGGATAAGGAAGGCTATACCTAGATGGCTTTCAATTGTTTTCACATGCATTACAATGACTGTTTTCATTATCGCCATAATATTTTCTTAACAGGTCTGTTAGATATATCCAAACCAAAACCAATTGACAATGAGTGGATAGAGCTCTTAATTATATAAACTAACCATAGGTGGCCTTATTCATTCGGTGTAGGATACAAGCTCTAAGTAAAGAAGTATATTGTGTGAGACTCTTAACCTTGCATGAAAGCTTTTTGTATTTTAACTTTGACCCTATTTAATATCATTTTCCTATAAGGAGAAATTAGATAAATGTGCACTATTAAGTTTTCCATATTGTGATTGAATATGAATATTCCTAGCCATCTGAGTTATCTTCAGATGTTCCTGCTTAATAGAATGTTATTCAAATCAGATGAATGGAGCAGCTACTAAGGATTTATTCCTGATACATGCAGTTTAAGTTTCATCTTAAGCTGGGCTCATAAGCACGATGAAGCTACTCCAAGAAGCTTAAGCCCTCCACATTACTCTTTTTCTCTTGCAAGATAATCTCAAGTTTTAAGATAAGTTGCTTAATAAAAAAAGCTTGATCAGTATTATGCTTGACTTACGTGTGCTCATGGACAATTGAGGAGGCCTTGCATCTTTATAGTTGCATATGTTAAAGAAATCTACCTAACTGGCTTCTTGAATGTGAGCATATTCATGTTATCACTAAGTGGCATGGTCATAATATTTTTAGATAAAAAAGGACTGTACCGTTGACCGGAAGAAAGTACAAACGATGGTGAACAAAGAATACAATCAAACATATAGAGAAGAACAAACAAGAAAACTACATTAAAGATCCATAAATCCAGCAGAACTAGGAAAACTTCAACAACAAACCAATAGAAAGGAATGCTCTGGAACTCTTCATTAAGTGTATCCCATAATAAAATCAAAAAAATTTGCTCTTTCTATTGGGAATTCCACATTCTCATGCTTGTGATACAAAAAATATACTATTTCTTACCATTCAAACCACCAAAAAAAAATAGTCAAAGCTGTACACCTATAAAGAATGACGATCCTCTTACTCACCAGTCTCCCCAATACCACAAAAATCCTCCACAAATAAGGATACACACTTCGGTAGAATTCCTCAATCCATACTCACTTTCTTAATCAACATATGCCACAACTGTAATGCAATTGGACAATGGAGAAAGACGTGATCAATGCTTTCACTGCAACTTCTACATATAACATGACTGGCGAGAAAAAAACAAGCATTGTACCTTCTCCTTTGAATCACAACACAAGTCTCAACCTTCCCATGCCCAACCATACAAGTAAAACCTTGTACCTTGGTAAGCACATTAGCCTTCCCAATATCTTAGAGTTCATAGACAAAAGAAGACGGTTCATCAGTCAAATACTCAAAGACGGATTTAGAAAAAATGGTTCCCAGGTAGTGAAGAATCCAAAATTTTCTATCAGAAGCCAACAAATCCAAGGGCACCGAATCAAGCAATGACAACAGAGGAGAAAGTTTTATAGTTTCCTATCATTCAAATTCCTTGAAAAGCTGCAATTCCATCCAATCTGAAAAAGAAACCACCATGCTAGAATGTATGTTTTATGATACCTAGATAACTGATAAATCCGAGGAAACAAAGATGCAAATGATGATTCCCCTCTCTAAATGAATTCTTTTGCCATTGTCCACACTCAACCTAAGATTTGTAGAAAAACTATTAAGACCCTTGCAAATGAATTTCCAAGGACAGCAAAAAGAGTCTTTATCCACCACACTAAAATTCAATCCATTGGATTGAAGCCCATATTTACTCTGAATGACAGAATGCCTCAATGTATTTTGTTCCAATGAAAACCTCCACGACCACTTCCAATGGAGGCCTCCACTTATTGAGCAATGGCACAAGTTTATAATAGACTATGAAAAAGTTTGAATTGGCTTGTAAATGGTTTTGCCTATTTTAACTTCATCCATATCTCCACATCGTAGACTAAGCATAAATTGTTGATGGGTTGACTGTGTGTCCTTTACAAGTACAATCAAGCCAAATTTAAGAGAAGTTTGTGTGTATTGGCATATGTATCAATATCAGTAGGTTTGGTCATTTGGAGGCAAATTTCAACAGGCAAGGAGCTAGGTTTCAAATTTGTTGGCCAGATGTTGTTTCAGTACTCTAAATCCTACTAAACTATGTCAATGCTTTAAGTGAAGACTGATTAGAGAAGATGTGGAAGGCAATTTTTGCCTCCCGTCCATTTAGGAAGGCCAACCAAGCAAAACTCTTTTCATATTTTTTGGAGGTGTAGTGAAGTGAAATATCAGGCTCCACTTATTTGTCAGCCAACCACTTTGTTCAGAAACTCAATCAAGAGGACAACATTCTCTGGCTTCATTGGCTGTGCCATTTCCATCTCTATTCTCATATTCTGGTAAAGTGACGGTGATAACTTTTTTAAAAAACATTTCAGTTGATGGAATCTATTAATTTAGTTATGGTAGCCAAGCAGGGTAGTGCATCGATTAACTCTTGATCATACTCTCTGAAATATTATGTTTTACGTTTCTTTCTTTGTATGTGCGTGCAGTCATTAAAATTTCATTCCCTTTCACCCTTCCCTTCTTATTTATTTAATTGATTTTGGTCTTTCCTTTTTTCCTTTATGAGCAAATAAATGAGTTATTTTCCCATATCATGGAGCATGTGCTAGCAGGCTAGAGCCAAGTGTCCACATATATATAAAGTTGAGCTGGTGCCTATTAATTCAATGATCTAATGGTTGCAACAAATACTCTTTATTTCGAACCATCATGGTATCTGTGAATTGCACAAAATGTAGACCTATGTTTCTTTGCTGTAATGCCAATTTGTACAGCTTTCAAGAAACAATCAGATGGCATTGCACTTAATGAGGTTGGTCAACTCAGGAAAAGGGTGTTGATATTTATGTCTAGAGATCACAGTACATGAAATAGTAGAGAAGATTCAGTCCAGTGGAATTTAGGAGGATTACACCAAGAGTACTTATGTAAGGTGGTCAATAGGACTTTGATGCTAATGTGTACAGAAGTAAATTGAAGTAAAGAACTGGATCTTGAGAGGACTGACCAGATCGCATTGCCTGAAGAATCCTTCTTCCTTGTGTATAGGTTAGCTTAGCTGTTGTGGTTGAAGTTAATGAGTTGGCTTTTATTTTGTATGAGATTAGATCTGTGGGTGTCAGCATCTATGGCATGTTTGCAAGAGATTTGTAGACTTAGTCTTGTGAACACCCATAACAATGCCGAAAGTGGTTTATTGTTATGGCAAAATAATTATTGGCCTTGGATGCCTGCTTCCC